TGGTAGAGAATCTTGCTTGAGCAGGGGATTGGATTAAAAGACCTCCAAGGTCCCTTCCAACTCTGTTATTCTGAGTGTGGATTCAAGAGGGGCTACTAAAGATGGACAACCTCATTTGATGAAGGCCAGGAACTCTAGTTGGATTTCCTACATCTTCTCATTCTGATGAAACTCTGACCTATGCTTTCTCCACACTGGCTGAGGGCTCCTCAAACCCATCTCGGGAGTCTCCAAAATCAACATTATTTACTACATAGGGAAGATATTGACAAAAATTTAAAACAATGTCACTCATGTCTTCTCTTTAAAAATATATATATATCTTGTTTTAATGAAAAAATATTATTTATTTAAGATCTCATGGGCTTAATATTGCTGCTTTTACATGGCTCAATAACTATTCTAAAAATGCGTCCATTTTCATACGGTAAATATCAATAAAGATAAAACCCCTGCAAGCCAAAGATCCTTGAAAGGTCTTCATCATTTTTAAAACCAGGAAGGAGGAATCCTAAGAACACAAAGGTTAAGAACCACCACTCTGCATAATGAGATGTATTCAGTGAAAGTTTCCCCATCATAGCTTATTGAATAAGTCACATCTCCTCTTTGTTGTTTTCTCCAGGTTCCTGTTTGATCTGTGAGACCTGTCAAAGTCCAGGTGAAGACTGCACTGGTATGAGACGCACCTGTGGAGAGACTGAAGATACCTGCCTTACCTTTGTAGGAATAAATTCCTTGTGTGAGTAAAAGATCTCAAGACTTGCTTTGAACCAGCAGAGGGAGTTAAGAGATCTAGGTTCCCAGAAGAGCAGATGGGACAGTGGTTGGTTTCCAAACTTCTTTTCAATTGGGCAACCTTATCACCAAAAACGTTGGAGAAGGTCTTCCCCATATGTTGATTTATTGATACGTGTCTACTTACTCGTATAGTATAGATATTAGAAAACATTATAAACTTTTTAAACATTATAAAACATATCGTTCACCCTTTGGATTATGACATTCTTTGTAGGTCCGCTGTTTGGCCTTCCATAAGGTTTCTGACACCTGGTTCTGTCACCAAACTTTGTATATTTAGGGGGACGTGGTGGCTCAGTGGCTAAGACGCTGAGCTTGTTGATCAGAAAGATCGGCAGTTTGGCAGTTTGAATCCCTAGCGCCACCTAACTGAATGAGCTCCCATTACTTGTCCCAGCTTCTGCCAACCTAGCAGTTTAAAAGCATGTAAAAATGCAAGTAGAAAAATAGGGACCACCTTTGGTGGGAAGGTAACAGCGTTCTGTGCGCCTTCGGTGTTTAGTCATGCCAGCCACATGACCACAGAGACGTTGTCGGCTTTGTAACGGAGATGAGCACCAGCGCCCCCTAGAGCCAGAAACAACTAGTATGTATCTGTGAGGGGAACCTTTAATTTGGGGGTCAGGAGATGGGGCTGAGCCTTGCATTGGCTATGTTAATTTTTCAGAAATTTTCAGCAAGGGGTTACCTAATTTAACCAAACCTCTCTTATCTGCGTCTTCTTCACCAGGGTCTGACAAAATCACCGAGACTGTCAAACGCTGCTCTGCTAGCAGCACCTGCTTGCCTGGACCCATCCGCGTCACCATCAATTCTGAGATCCATTTCTGGAGCGCCTCCAGCTGTTGCCAAGGAGACCTGTGCAACAACAAAAAGTTGGACAGTAAGGAACCGTTTGTCTTCTCCCCAACTAAAGTTCCTGAAGTTGGTATCCATATTTCCCCAAATTTTCACTGGGGTTGCTTACTTCCATGTACTCTTTTATATCTGATTTGGCATACCCAGTTGGAGCAGCCATCAGGTCAGAGGTGGTATTCAGCGGGTTCTGACCAGTTCTGGAGAACCGGTAGCGGAAATTTTGAGTAGTTTGGAGAGCTAGCAAATATCACCTCTGACTGGCCCCGCCCCCATCTATTCTCTGCCTCTCATTGAGTCCCAGCTGATTGGCTGGGCCTTCTTTGGTTGCCCTGCACAGGAGAACGGAGCTGGAAAGCAGGTTAGTGGGGTGGGGAGGGAATGGGGATTTTGCAGTATCCTTCCTTCCCTGGAGTGGGTGGGAATGGAGATTTTGCAGTACCTTTACCCTGCCATGCCCACCAAGCCACATCCACCAAGCCATGCCCACCAAGTCGCACCCACAGAACTGGTAGTAAAAAAATTTTGAATCCCACCACTGCATCAGGTCCAACTCTGCTCAAAATTTAAGACTTTTAAAAAATTAATTTAACATGGCTTCTACTGTACATCCTTCCAGTCAAAGCTGACTCGGAGTGGCACACCAGTCCCCTGGGGAAACACTGTCTGACATCACCTCTTTCTGGAGTTCCTTCTCCTACATCTCCCTGAGCCATCATCCTCCAGAGAACCTTTCCATCACCTCTTTGGGGGATTTTCAGTAGATTCTTCTTATACGAAAAGCAAACAAGGAGAAATTCCTTTTCCTATCTACTTCTCCATATTTTTTATATTTATATTTTTATATTTTATATTATATTTTTATATTTTATGTTTTTATACTTTATATTATATTCATATTTTTATATTATTTTTAATTATATTAATATTATTATATAATATTATTAATATATTTTGTTGTTTTATATTATTATTATTGTTGTTTTATATTATTATTATTGTTTTATATTATTATCATCATATTTTTTCCAAATCAAAGGTTGTTGGAACACCTAGGAAACCATCTTGCAAGATTGTCTGGCTGCAGGTGATTAAGACACTGCAGTCTTCAAGGCAGTGGCGGATTAAGGCTCACTGGTGCCTTAAGCACTGACAAATCTTGGTCTCTCCCTCCTTCGTACATACTGTACAAACAAAGCTCTATTCTCAACTTCATGGTGCCCCCTTTGGGCCTGGTGCTTCAATGGAATAAGGACCTCAGCTACAGTTCCGCCTCTTTGTGTCAAACCTGGCCTGGTTCCCACAAACAATAAAACTGTAATTGTCAGTGTACCATCAGCTGAAATTGAAGAAAACCGCTAGCTGTCTTTGAAACAGCCTGGAATAAAACCATGTCCCCCACCCCACCCCACTGCAACTGCCAGATCTGATTGGAAGTAGTAACTCATTCAGAATTCCAGTAGCATAATGGGCTTTCCCTAGATTTCTATGAGAGTTGTTTCTTGCGGCAGGTTTTATCATAAATATGCTTAGTGCAATAAATCCGTGCCTGTGAATGCTTTATTTATATGCGATGGTGTATAATTAAGGCCTGCTGAACTAAGGTTTCTGTATGGCATAATCTTTTGTAGTGCCTCCTGAAAATACTACCCTCAATGGGCTGACCTGCCCAGCTTGCTTTAACCTTGGCTCGGATCAGTGCGAAATGGTCGAGACTCTGAACTGTGTAGGGGAAGACAATCATTGTATAACCACATCCGGAACCCTAACTGCTAGTAAGTTGCATTTGCGTTTGCATTTTCATGTTGTGGGGTCACCACTGGGTCACACACGCAGAAGTCAACAAGAGCAGCGGTGGGATTCTACCACTTTCCCAACTGGTTCGGTGATCGCGCACCTAACGCACGCATGCGTGCAGCTTTCCCAACACCAGCTGAGGCTCTGCCATGCCAATCAGCAGAGAGGATAAAGAACAGAAAAGCACAGGGACAGGTGGGAGGGCCGATTGTGCGCTTTTCTCTACTTTCTTCTCTCAGCTGATCATCGTAGCTTTTTTTTTTAACATTACCAGTTGGGCCAAACCAGTAGCAATTTTTGCTACCGGTTCAGGGGAACCGGGCCGAACCGGTAGCATTTCACCACTGAACAAGAGGGTATAG